GATCTTACAGTCTGTGAGCTTGAGCCCCGCATCGGCTCTGTGCTGACAGCTCAGAGCCTGGAGCCTGCTTTGGATTCTGTGTCTCCCCCTCTCTCTGCCCCTCCTCCACTTGCGCTCTGTCTCTCTCTCTCTCTCTCTCTCTCTCTCAAAAGTGAATAAACATTAAAAAAAGAAAAGTTTTAGGGGCGCCTGGGTGGCTCAGTCGGTTGAGCGGCCAATTCCGGCTCAGGTCATGATCTCGCGGTCGGTGAGTTCGAGCCCCGCGTCGGGCTCTGTGCTGACAGCTCGGAGCCTGGAGCCTGTTTCGGATTCTGTGTCTCCCTCTCTCTGACCCTCCCCTGTTCATGCTCTGTCTCTCCCTGTCTCAAAAATAAATACAACGTTAAGAAAAAAAAAATTAAAAAAAAAAAGTTTTAGAATGAGAGAAGTTACAAGAAATTTCCAGAACTTTGGAAATTCATGCCCCTGAGTTCCTTTGGACTCAGATTGCTGATTGCTTCCCCTGTTGCTTTACAGCTCCCAGCAGCTCCCAGCACTTTGGGGGTAGAGTGGGATGCTAAGAGGTTCACACCCTTATGAATTTCATATAATTTGCATTGCATAAATGCAGATAAGGAGCTTGGAGTTTACCCTTCATTAGCTTCATGATAAACCCACCTCTGTTTGTAATAGAAAAACATTGAAAGCAGCCCAAATAACTATCAGAATGAGAATGAATTAATTGTGTCATATTCATATAACAGAATATTAAAAAGAATGAGCTGGAGCTACGTGGTTATATCTCAAAAAGTAAATTTGAGTTGCAGATTAATTTATAGAGCAAGATACCATTAAAGTTTAAAAATCTGTAAAACAATACAAAAGACTATAAATGCATAATGTATATATACATATATGTATATGTACCTAAATGTGTGTATTATATATATAATTATTTGTATTTATGTGTCTAATTAAAATATAAAAACATGGAAGGAAATGATAAACACAGAATTCTGGATAGTGGTTACCTCTATCCAGGAGGAAAAGTGGGAAATAGGATTGCACAGGAGTACAAAGGAGATCCATTTCCTGGAAAGAGAAAGATCTCAAGGAGATAGGACAAAATATTAAGATTTGATATGACAAACTTAGGTGGTAGCTACCAGGTTTTATTACATTATTTTCTAAACTCTTCCATATGCAGGAAATAGTTCACATGTTTTTTTAAAAAAAGGCTCTTGCACTAGCCAGGGAAAGAAGATGCTTTCCTCCTATCAGCAGACTTGATTCCCCTATTTTTTAAAGGTTATTTATTTATTTTGAGAGAGGGAGAGAGAGAGAGAGAGAGAAAGAATCCCAAGCAGGCTCCACACTTGGAGCCTGACAAAGGGCTCAAATTCATGAACTGTGAGATCGTGACCTGAGCCAGGATCAAGAGTCAGACGCTAAGCCAACTGAACCACCCAGGCACCACTGATTCTCCTATTTTTAATATTTAATTTCTATTTTATTGAGGTATATGTAAGTAAAATGCACAAATCTTAAGTTTATAGCTCAAGGAATGTTTACATATGTGATCTACCCAGATCATTATCTAGAACGATGTCAATTCTCTTTATCACATACAATTCCCTTCTTCCTGGCTGTTACTCATCCTTTGGCTCAACTTAGATGTCACTTCCTCTAGGAAAGTGCAGATCCTGGAAAACCGCTAGGAAAACCACCTTTCTCTCTCTAGGGAAACCACCTTGCTCCCTCAACATTTGGTTACTATTGTGTCTTTTCCTTTTGTTGACCACTTGCTTGTCAGCTTCTCTTTATAATTATGAGCTGCTTTCCCGAAGGTTCCAAACTACAAATGCGTCTTCTTATTCTCCTTTGTGCCTGTGCCTTTCCATTTTTCAAGTTAAACCGTATTCACCCTTGTTAGCTTCTTCAGAGAAACCCGGGATCCTTTACACTATTCATCCAATCCTTGTCTACACCTAATGTCTCCATAATTTCTGCATCAAATACTATGTTCCTCTATGTTTTGAGGTCATGACCTTGAAATCAAATTTTGGGTGTTGCAAGTTTCATGAGTGGATTCAAGCATAATGAAAACCCTGAATACGCAGTTGTATTTTATGACCACATTGGGTATCAGAGTGATGCCTGCTTTTTAGAAGTCCTGAAGCTTTGCAAGTTAAGCTAAAACCTGTCATGCTGAGCCTGATTAAAACGTTCTCTAAAGCTGACAAGTAATGCTGACAGTGTTCATTGCCCAGACCCGTATTATCAAAAGGTAACAATAAGGACATTTCACTTCTGTTCCTCACTCCAGGGCACCTCAGGGAACTCCTAGAATCATAGAGAGCCCGGTAGGCATGCTAAAGAAGACAAGTCCTCTTTATGTTGTAGGGGCAGCCACTGAAGAGCGGTTTAATCACTGGAGTAACAAGTGGGGAAGAGAATGGACTCTGGTGCCAGACTGCCAGTGTAACTTGGTAGAAGCTCGAAACCTCTCCAAGCTTCAGTTTCTCCTTTGGAAACTGGGGATGATGATGCTAACCGTACTTCAGAAGGATATTGTGTGGATTGAGTTCATATGTGAAAACTTCCTAGCACATAGGAAGCATTTTATAGCACTATTATTACCAGCATAGTAATATATTAATTTTGGAAAGATCATTCTGGCTACTGTCTGAAAGGTGACAAATCTAAAAAACAGCAGTGTCATTCCAACACTGAAAATAAAAATAAGAAAACACGATTTGATATAACACAAGATAAATACATGGAGTGGTTTGAACTTAGCACCAGACACATGATTGCTATAGTTGACTTTCAGTTGTATACATTTTCAGTTAACTACTGCTACTTTTCAGTTACACCCACTGGCTTCCCTTGTCTTCATCATACTAGTAGGCACTGGTCCCTGCTTAGAAATTAACTAACCCTTTGGCTTAAACAGGCAGTAAGTAAGAGGGTAAAGGAAGTCAGGTTCCTCACTTCCTGAGAAACCATAGTTCTTACAATTGACGGAGAAGGGGTGGAAAAAGAAGGCAAGACAGAAAAACAGCCTGGGTAGGAAGTGAGCCAGTTGGCCACTACTTTTCAACCCTTAGGCAAGGTAGGCATAGTCAAAGAGGAGATTTGAACCGAAAAACATGTTATTGCTGTGATTGAGTTCTTCCCAGATTTTGTAGCCAATACACTAAAGCCATGCTTATTTTTTTGTTAAAGGCCCAAAGTTACATAATTCTGAAGGTATTTGGACATTTCCATATTTAAATTTTTTTTTTTACTTAAGCAATCTCTATGCCAAATGTGGGGCTCGAACTCATGACTCCAAGATCAAGAGTCACATCCTCTCCCAACTGAGCCAGCCAAGTGTCCCTCAATATTCTTTTTGCAAGGTTCAAGAAGTGTCCAAGAACTATGGTATTTTTGTGGGAGATATTTTTCAGTCTGTCTTGAGAACAGTTTTACAATTATTCCAGGCTGTTTGCCCTCCTGGCAACCTTTCCTGCCTACCTTCTGGCAGGAAATACTCTTTCTTACATCCCAGCATTGCAAAATTCTGATTCTCCTCAAAAAAACTCACCTTATTTCCTTCTCTAGACTACCACTCCACGTGGCTCATATATTTATGTGAACTTATTGGTTTATATTGCAATAATTTGTTTGTTTGCCATTTCCTAGGTCCAGGCCATGAGCTTCTTGGTGGAAGGGACCATGATTTTATTTCCCACCTTGAGACATTGTATATAGCATAATAGTTTAGTGCATGGAGCCAGAGTTTCTAAGTTTAAATCTCACACTTATAGGATATATATCCTTGACTAAGTCATTTCACTTTCCTGTGCCCAAGTTCCCGTATCTATAAAATGGGCATAATAATAGCAGCAACTTTATGTTATTAGCCCTTCTTTCTTTTAATTAGATAGAAACCTTTTCATGATTGTCACTGAATTACAGAATTTTTTTTTAATTGGTGGTGGGGGGACAAACTTAAAAGGGTCATTGTTTCCTGGTCAAACAAATGCAGATAACTGTGTTGGAAAAAAGAGATTTGAAGATTCTGGCAGGCAATGGCCAACATTCCCTCTAGCCTCTCCCCAACATCTTCACACTGTCGTGCCTTCTCTGAATTGCATAAACAAAGTCCCTTCAAGTTACTCTTCAGTCGTCAGAGGGTTACCTTCTCCAGTAAGCCATCTCTGGCATCCTATCACTCTTATGCACTTGTCTGTTTAGATGTCTGATACCACACAACTGTGACTTAAGCAAGGGTCTGTGTCTCGTCTTTGTGCTCAGAACTCAGGAATGGCCGATATCCTCAGGCTAATCCTCTCAACAACTAAGTCTCCTGGAGGCTTTCCCTGTGCATCAGTCACTCCTTGCCTCTCAGTGTCCTTCAGCATCAACTGGAAGCTGTAGAAATGAAGACCTTTCAGACCTCATCCCAGCTGTGCTCCTCAGTTGCTCCAGCAACAATACCTACATGCAACAAGAATGCTTTAGCTCCTGGCCCCGCCTCCTCCCCTGCTCAGCCAGCCCCTGCCTTCGGCCCGCCCCCTCCGTAAACTGGAGTCACCAGTGCGCACGCTCCTTCTTGGTCTCCTTGTAGCGTGATGACGTTGACGTTGACGTTGGCTTGCGGCGTAGGGGCGGCGGCCGCGCGTGTTTCAGCTGGGGGAGGCGGTGTGGTCTGTGGGTTTGGAAAAGACGCGGGTCCCTGAAGTGTCTCTACTGGCTAAGGCGCGTGGTATTTTAGGCTTAGGCAGCTGGCTGTGTTGTCTCCGCTCCTCCCTGTCTGCGGAGAGGGAAGCGGCGGGGAGGTGGTGGGGACACAGCTGGAGCCCCTGAAGGGGAAGGGAGCAGCCGGGGTTAGGGGTAGGAGGTGTGGAGCGCGTGAGTGCAGGGCTGCGGTCCAGAATCTGGGAACAGTCGATAGTAGGGGAGGGTTCCACAGGCAAAGTGCTCACCCGCCGGGATCCGTGCTGGTCCCGAGGAGAGCTTGCGGCAGCAGCGCGATGTTCGGGGCCCGGTGCCTGCTCCGAGCCCTGCGCTCCTGCACCTCAGCCCCCTGCCCGAGACACAAACCTTCCGCCAGACTGAGCGTTCGGGACGCGCTCGGGGCCCGGAGCACGAATGGGGAGCGCGTTAAGGTCCAGGTTGGTGTATGGGAAGGGGATGGGTTTTTCTTTTTAGTAACTTACATGCCACCTCCGTGTCTAGGCTTACCTTGTCAGGTCAGACAAAACGACAGGCAGAGAAAGGAGGAAATGTTGGCCATCGTGTGCGTTCACACTTTTCTCCTTTCCTTTCCTATCGTTAGTTTGCGCAGAACTGTTGGGATTGACTGTGACGTGCTGGAACTTTGCTTTCACGGTACCAGAGCATTACCTGTAAACTTGTTAGTTATACGGCAGAAGAAACGTACGAGCTTCTTTTCCTTTATCCCTCATAACGAATAACCACAGTTACATAGCGGTTGCCTTGAGCTAGCTCCATGAGAGCGGACACCATGTCTTACCGGTCTTGGTATTCCCATGTCTTACAGTAAATATATGTTCAACTAAACAATGGCTTTTATTCAACTCTTAACCACCCTGAGGCCGAAAAAAGGGTTTGCACATAATGTATGTTTAATACATAGGAGAAAGAGTAGAGTGTAGCGGTTTGAAACAACTCTGGAGTCAGGGTGACTAGGTTCAAATCTGTGGCACTTAGTGGCTCATTAATTATGGGTCTCTTCTATAATAGTAATTATGGTCTCTTCTCTCCTCTAAACCCGTTTGCTTCTTATGGCAATGAAGCTAATAATAGCCTTAACCTCATAGAATGGTGAAGATTAAGTGAGATGACAGGTATTATGACATTTAGAACAGTGGCCCACAGTCAATCAATGTTAACTGCTATTATTTCTCTTGCTAGTATTTGCAGCAGCTCTACAGAGAAGATTTTCCTTTAAGGGAGTAGACCAAGCAAGGTGGTTTGACCCTTTTCAGTTGCTGAAACACTGCTGCAGTTATTTTTGTTGTCCTCGAATTCTTTGATTTTTAGCAGTATGACTCCTCTGCATTTTTGGGGGGTTTCATGTTTTTTCCATGATCCAAATCAAGCCCTTTTCTTGTATTCATCTATTAATTTGACATACATACATTAATGATCCCTTCTAAGTGGTAGTCAAGAAAGGATGCAAAGATAAAAAGAACAAAAGCTACTGCCTAGATCAGAGGCTTTCATTTTAATGCTGTGTGGTCTAAGATAGTAGCTACCTGTCATTTGTGGCACTGAGCTCTTAAAATGTGGCTAGTCCACATTGAAGGGTAACTGTAAATTTAAAATACACACCAATTTTGGAGAACAAAAGAATACAAAATATCTCAATATATATATTGATTACACGTTGACAATGTTGGCAGAATGGGTTAGAATATTAAAATTAAGTGTACCTGTCTACTTTTTAGTGTGACCACTAAAACAAGCAAAATTACATATATGGCTCACATTATATGTTTGTGGGACAGCCTTGGTCTAATGACTAAGACAAGTAATTGGGGCAACGTGATAAGTATTAGTGGAATGAGGAACTTTGAGAAAACAGGGACATCCTTAACTATGTGAGGTCAAGGAAGACTTCTTGTGTTAAGTGACATTTCACTTGAGTCCTGAAGGATATGTTCCTCAGGGAGAGGAACTGGGGATGGGGTGGAGATCACATTCCAGAAAAGCTTGATAACATGAACTTTGAACTGAGAACTGTATTTGAATTCTAGCTCTACTCCTTGGGAACTGTGATTTTAATTATTTAGAGAGGTTGTCCTAACTTACTTAATATGTTCTTCATTTCTAAAATGAGAATATTCACTTCATTAAGTTCTTGTAAGGATTAAGTGTAAAATATTTATAAAGAGCTTAGAGCAGAAGCACATTAAACACTGCTCCACAAATGTTAACTTTTACTAACAAGTGAAAAGCAAGACAGTGGTGCTTTAGGAATTACTATTGATTAAACATAACCAAAGAGCCGCTGCCATCAGGGAAATGTGGGGAGGTGAAACCAGAAAGGGCACACTCGGTTGTGAAAGGCCTTGTATAGGAGACAGGCAATTTACACTTTTTTTCAGTGTAGCCCTAGAAAAAGACCAAGGGCTTTCTGGTAGACCTGGGTCCAAATTCAGGCTCTGTCTACCAGCAGTGTGACCTTTGACAACTTATTTGACTTCTCTGAACCGAGGTTCTTCACTTGTGAGACAGGTTATAATGATAATCCACAGAGCTGTTGTGAGAAAAAGATGAGATAGTATATGAAGAAGGTAGTAAAACATTTGTCACATAGATTTTTAGTGCATGGTAGATATCCTTTCACTGAAAACCATTAACGAACTATCTACTGTGTCCCTGACAATGGCCTTCAAAGCCACTAAAGCATGGTTCTTAAACCTTCACAATATGATAGACATATGAATAAGTAATGGGAGAGCTTTAATAGCGTTGTCCGTAGGGTGTGGTGGGAACACAAAGTAAGGGTCAATACAGTTTTTCTAAATAGAATCCTCTCGCTTTTCCCAAGCATGTCTGATAATCAAACACAATCAGTTGTTCACAGTTTTTCAGTGTCTGCTAGAAGAATATTGTCTCTTCTGTGCTAGTTAAATTTAAGTTGGATGTGATCTGTGAGAGCTGTTTTTAGTGTTACTGGTTTTAGTGTTACTACTAGAAGACCTCATTTGTACTCACCTGTCATTTAAATTCACAGTGTCTTTGAAAGCTTATGTACTAAATATATGTCACAGTGAAAAGCTTTTTGAGAAGTCTGTGTGATATTTTATAAAAGGAAAAATCCAATGAAGATGTTTCTGTTCTATAACTACATAATTTCCCTCCTGGGAGCTTAATATAAAAGGAGACAGGGACCCAAATAATGTGCCATATTATTATCACCTGGAATGAATACCTGGAAGAGTCAATATTGGGGAAATTGATTATATGAATTAGGCTCATCGGCCTAATGGAACGTTAGGCATGTATTCAGAATGATGAGGTTTTTTTGTTTTTTTGTTTTTTAAATTAAGTTTATTTATTTATTTTGAGAGAGAGACAGAATAAGCAGGGGAGGGCAGGGAGAGAGAGTGTGAAGCCTGATGTGGGACTTGAACTCACGAACTGTGGTGATATGACCTGAGCCAAAACCAACCTGAACGCTCAACCAACTGAGCCACCCAGGTGCCCCTGAGAATGATGAGTTTTATATTAACAAAACAAAAAGGTGGAATGCCAAAGCTGTATCTCCCTGAGATAAGAATCCTATTGAATTATATATGCTAAAAGCAATTGATTTGTTAAGGCAGGACTGAGGACTTTTTTTTTTCCATTTAGTCTTGTGTGTGCATGTGTAATGAAAATGTAAAATATTTACATGTTTTAAACTCACATTTAGAAATTTTTCTTCATTAGGGTTGGATTCGTTCAGTCCGATCCCAGAAGGAAGTGTTATTCCTGCATATAAATGATGGATCATCTTTGGAAAGCCTTCAAGTTGTAGCTGATTCAAGCTTTGACAGTAGGTGAGTTTTTTATTTTTTTAACAAAAGAATCTTTTTTTCATCTCCTTTGCTCCCCTTTTCCCTAATCCAATGTTCACATATTTTTTTTAATGTTTATTTTTGAGAGAGAGAGGGAGACAAAGGGTCTGAAGTGGGCTCTACACTGACAGCAGCACGCCTGATGTGGGGCTTGAACTCACGAACCATGAGATCATGACCTGAGCCAAAGTTGGATGCTCAACCAACTGAGTCCCTTAGGCACCCCAGAGTGATCTTTCTAAACAAACCTGCTTTTCAAAGCTTTAAGGCTAAGTCAAATACTTGGAATCAAGATCCTTCAAGCTCAGGCCTTTCTTTTTTATTTTTTTAAAGCTTGTGTTTTTATTTTGAGAGAAAGACAGTGCAAGTGGGGGAGGGACAGAGAAAGGGAGAGAGAGATAATCCCAAGCAGGCTTTGTGGTATTAGCATGGAGCCCGACGCTGGGCTCAATCCCACAAGCGAGAACATGACCTAAGCTGAAATCAAGAGTCAGATGCTGAACTAACTGACTGAGCCACCCAGGCGCTCCCAGACCTTTCTTTTTTTTTAACATCTTCACATAATAATATCCCCTACTTATCCTTTGCTTCAGTCTCTCTTAATTATTTGCTGCCCATTTAAGGGTGAAACCTCTATCATTAAATACTGTAATGTTCTGATAGCAAGTTTTGTATTAAAATGAACGTTCTGTGGGGCGCCTGGGTGGCGCAGTTGGTTAAGCGTCCGACTTCAGCCAGGTCACGATCTCGCGGTCCGTGAGTTCGAGCCCCGCGTCGGGCTCTGGGCTGATGGCTCAGAGCCTGGAGCCTGTTTCCGATTCTGTGTCTCCCTCTGTCTCTGCCCCTCCCCCGTTCATGCTCTGTCTCTCTCTGTCCCAAAAATAAATAAACGTTGAAAAAAAAAAAAATTTAAAAAAAATAAAAATAAAAAAAAATAAAATGAACGTTCTGTATAATGATATCTTGTTTATGCTGTTTTTTGTTACTATAGAGAACTGGCTTTTGGGAGTTCTGTGGAAGTTCAAGGGCAGCTGGTGAAAAGTCCATCCAAAAAGCAGAATGTGGAACTGAAGGCAGAAAAAATTGAAATTGTTGGAAATTGTGATGCCAAGGTATGCTTCGTGATACTTTTATGGAGACTATTTAGGCTTAATTTAAAACAGCAATCTGTTTTAAGTGTGATTATTGGGAAGGTGGCACTTAGAACATGTTTCAGTTGTGACTTCCCAGATAATTGAAACAGGCTGTGGAGCCTGAGGAATGTAGAGAACATAGCAAACAGTATGTAAATGGCTGAATTTTATGACTGAAAGCAAAGTATTAATCTATACATCTCTTTGGACACCTGTCATAATTAAAACTTGCCACATTTAGAAGCATGCCCAGTTAACTTCAGTGACAGAGACATGCTGGGGAGAACGTGTTCTAAGGAAAGCCCTGCCTAGAAATCACTTTTACAGGATCTAGAACTGTGTTGTCCCAATATAGTAGCCACTAGCCACCTGCAGTTGTTTAGTATTAATTTAATATTAAATCAAGTAATAAAATCAGTTCCTCAGTGACATTAGATACATTTCACATGCAGCTGCTGGCTACCATATTGGATAGTGTGGGTACAGAACTTATCACAGAAAATTCTGTCAGACAGTACTTACCATGCTTGGGCTGAAGAAAGATAAGAAATCCTACATTAAGACATGTTTGCTCAGCCCAAGCATGATAAATACTGTCCCAACAGAATTTTTTCTGTTTTTGCAAGACTCCTTGTTAGTAGCTTTTATTCATCACCTGATAAAGAGGTTAGAGAGAATAAAATTATAGGTTGGCAATCCATCTTCTGAAATTGGAGAAAATGAGGCCCAGGCAGGAGACATGGCTTGCCCAAGGTTATATTGCTGACTAGTGCCACAGCTGGAATTTGTGTACTAGCCATTTGACTCCTCTGTAGTTTTGCTATACTTGTCTTCCAAGTATTTGATGAACAAAACACAAGGAAATATAGGGAAATTGCATCATTTTAATTCGTTTTTATTTTTTTTTTTTGGATAATTGGAGGAAAATAAATATAAGGAAATAAGAAAATGGGCACCTTTTTGAAAAATGTCCTTCTGAATAGTTTTCCAAGAAATTCTAATAATACTAATAAATACTAATTGACATGTAAAATCAGGAATCAGGTTTTAAGGTTTCTGAAAAGTAGACTGTGAAAAATAATTTGGAATTCAGAGAGGAATGGAGATGGTAACCATTTTTGTTTTTGCTTTTTTTAGAGGGGTGTATGATTATTAAAATGCGTCATGTGTGTTACTCTTTTTAAGCCGTTCTCTCTTGGCTTCTGTGGTTGTCACTCACCTTCTCTTCCCCTTAATTTCAGTGTCATTTTGTAAGTATTCAGACATTAGGGAATTCTGGTCCCTAGGCAGTCCCCAGACACCTATTAATGTGGTCATATTTTGACTTCAGTAGGTATGGTGCTTATTTCTATTATGAAATAAATTAGCATGTACACTAAAAGAAATAGATAAGACTATATGTAATAAGCTACCAGTTTGGCTTTTTTATTTAAAATAGTTTCTCTGCTATCTTTTTTATTGAAACTTTGGTTTTGTTCTTTAGAACAAGTTTAGAACAGTTTGTTTTTATCTTCTAAATCTTGTAACATGAATGTTCACAGGGTGGAATATTTCTACATAGAGTCATAATTTGAAAGTTTTGAAATATACACTACTCTGCTAGTGACAGAAGGCTGTTGACCCTCATGTTCTTAGACTTGTTGATAAACAGTGAAAAACAGTGCCAATTGATTATAAATGATTGTGGGCTTTCAAGACATTTGGGTGATTTTAAAATTGAATGCCAGCTGTGTGTACACAGCTGTAGAAAACAATCTTTAATATCTACAATATTCTGAACTCCTATGTGCCAAACAGTGGACTGTTTTTGCATAATTATATCCTAATCTCTCTATTTGTAAGTGGTGACCGATATAAGCTAATGGATAGAAATTTGATAAATAACAGATTAGACTCAGCAATACTAATTTTGCCCAAGGTTCCATGCCTAATAAGTAGTAGAGCTGGATTCAAAACCACATCTCTGATTCCTACCTCACCATTCAATTAACTTGTAGTTAATTGGACCATGTTCACTTATATTAAGAAATAGAGAAAGAAAGCTTTAAATTTTGTTACAAAGCATTACTATTTAACAAATATTCTGGAAACTGATTTTATAGAACATATGTCTTAGCTTTCAATTTGTTTTTTCTATTTATTGGCAGGCTTTTCCTCTTAAATATAAAGAGAGGCATCCTCTGGAGTATCTGAGACAGTATCCCCACCTCAGGTGCAGGACTAATGCTCTGGGTTCCATACTGAGGATTCGCAGTGAAGCCACAGCTGCTATTCATTCTTTCTTTAAGGTGAGGTGCTTGGTGTGCTTCTAGCTACTCTTTTTCTTTTTTCTTCCTAGCTGTTCTTTCTTGTGGAGAAATTGAATGATTGTAACCCTGGAGTGTTATCCTGAACGTTTTGTTAGTTACAGTGTTTATTCCAAGCACCCTTTACTTGTGTGGTACTTTTTTTCTTTGATTTAAAAATTTCTCGGGGCGCCTGGGTGGCTCAGTCGGTTGAGCGTCCGACTTCGGCTCAGGTCACGATCTCACGGTCCGTGAGTTTGAGCCCCGCGTCAGGCTCTGGGCTGACGGCTCAGAGCCTGGAGCCTGCTTCCGATTCTGTGTCTCCCCCTCTCTCTGCCCCTCCCCGTTCATGCTCTGTCTCTCTCTGTCCCAAAAATAAATAAACGTTAAAAAAAAATTTTTTTTAATTTCTCTTTATCACTGGTTTTAAGCAGTTAGATTATGATGTGCCGGCGCAGTTTTCTTTGTTCCTTGTGTTTAGACCTTGTTGAATTTCTTGGATCTATGGGTTTTCATTTTCATTAAGTTTTTCATCCATTATTTCTTCAAATATTTTTTATGTTACTTCCTGCCTTTGGAGACTTCTGTGGTCCATATATTAGGCCACTTGATACTTCCATAGCTCAGTGACGTTCTTTTCTTTTTTTTTTAATTTCTTTTTCCCTGTGTGTTTTTTTTGGAAGGTAGTTTCTGCCCTTCTAGCTTCCTGATCTTTCCTTTTACAATGACTAATTTGTTGTTACTCCAATCCAGTGCATTTTTCATCTCACATTGTAGGTTTCGTATCTCTATGTTTGATTTGGGCCTTTTGGAAAAAATATATTGCATGTCTCTGTTTAACTTTTAAAATATATGCAGGGCAGGGGCGCCTGGGTGGCTCAGTCGGTTGAGTGTCCGACTTCGGCTCAGGTCATGATCTCACAGTGTGGGTTCGAACCCTGTGTCGGGCTCTGTGCTGATAGCTCAGAGCCGGGACCCTGCTTTGGATTCTGTGTCTCCCTCTCTCTCCGCTCCTCCCCCACTCATGCTCTGTCTCTTTTTCTCTCAAAAATAAACATTAAAAAAAAATTAAAAAAAAAAAACATATACAGGGCGGTTTTATGCATTTTTTAAACATATATTTTTATTTTACATTTACTTTCTTATTTTAATTTATTTTTTATTTTTTGAGACAGAGAGAGAGAGAGAGCACGGGCAGGGGAGAGGGGCAGAGGGAGAGAGAAAGAGAATCTTAAGCAGGCTTCACACTCAGCACCGAGCCCGACACAGGGCTCTATCCCATGATCCTGGGATCATGACCTGAGCTGAAGTCAAGAATCAAATGCTCAACTGACTGAGCCACCTAGGTGCCCCCACAATACGGTTTTAATTAAAAATATTTATGTTTTTAGTAGCTATTTGATATCTATTTTATGTCCTAATTCTATCATGTCTGTCAGTTATGAGTCAGCTTTGATTGATTCATTAGTCTCTTCATTACAGTTTATGATTTCTTGCCTCTTGGCATACCTGCTAATCTTTGGTTAGATGCCAGACATTGTGAATTTTACCATGTTGGATATTTATAAAGCTTCTTAAATTTTGTTCTGGTGTGTGGTTAAGCTACTTGAAAACTGTTTGATCCTATTGGGTCTTTTATGATTTGGTAAATGGGTCTGGAACAGTGCTCAGTCTAGGGCTAATTAACCAGCCACACGTGAGCACCAGGCACTGTTTCCTCTAATCTTTCTGGATGGTTCTTTCCTTGGCCTTTGACAATTTCCCCACATGGATGTGTCCGTCATCCCTCTACCTGACACTCTAGAGTGACCCTCTTTACATCCTTGGAGTTCTCTGTGCTGCTCTCTCCTCTCTGATACTCTGTCCTATGAATTCTAGCCACTTTTGTCCCTTCACACTCTCAGCTCTGTCTCCTCAACTCAGGAGGTCTCCTGGGCTCCACTTTATTTCTCCCCCTCTTCCTGCTATGGCCTGGATAATCTCAAGGTGGTAAGCAGGGCTACTGATAGGATTTGCTAAGTTTGTTTCGTATCTCAGGGATCACTCTCTTTTGTTGTCAGAATCCATCATCTTAAAAACCAGCCTTTCATGTGGTTTGCTTGTGGGGGCTTTATTTTTGTTTTTGGTGGGTTTTTTTGGTTGTTTCAAGGGGGAGGGTAAATCTGGTCCCTGTTTCTCCATCTTGGTCATAGGCATATTTTATACATAGTAAGCACTGATTTGAAAGTTATTGGTATTTTTTTTCTTTATATATATATTTTTTAATGTTTTTATTTATTTTTGAGAGAGAGACAGACTGAGTGCAAGCAGGGGGGGTACAGAGAGAGAGAGGGAGACACCAAATCTGAAGCAGGCTTCAGGCTCTGAGCCGTTAGTACAGAACCCGACGTGGGACTCGAACTCGTAAAGCACAAGATCATGACCTGAGCCGACGTCGGACGCTTAACTGACGGAGCCACCCAGGCGCCCTAAGAGTTATTGGTATTAATCAAGTAGATTGATGTACAACTAAAGGTATTTTGTCGTTTTTAGCTTTGCTTGTCAGCCATTTCCCCCTACCCAGGAAAGCCACAGTGGAATATAGTTGGTAAGTTGATGAGGTGAAGGGATCCTCCCCACATGTGGTTGAGAGGACCCCAAAGGCAAGGAATGGCCCGGCACATGAGGTTCAGTGTTATTCTGAGTGGTTCTGGAGCTCTTCCTATGCCACTTCTCCAGATCCAGTTCATCTGCAGAGATTGTCTAACATCATACCCCTTCTTTGGACTGCATCCAAATTCATGCAGGGCCAGCCCAACCGTAGTTTACCATGAGAGTTCTTGCTCTTTGAAAAGTTCCTTTAGAGTGAATTTCTGGTGAAACAGCTAAAGAGCATCATGGCTTTAAAGCATATAGTTTTGAATAAACAAAGAAAAATAATCACATTATACTATATCATCCCATTATAGTTTGAAAGGGTGCATTTCCATATGCTCCATAAACTTTCTGTGCAACTTCCATATGGCTTTTTAGTCGTGCTTGAACCACACAAACAAAATTTGTTCAGATCTAAAAATGTTTTTTTTTCCCCATATGGCTTTAAACAGTGGATAAAGCCACCCTGCTTCAATACTGAAGGTTTTATAGATTTCTGGCCACTAGGTGGTGGTATTGGCAGTCCACTGACTAGTGAGCTTTACCTACTTTCTGTATATACTTCCTACTTGAGGCTTCTATAAATATGTAAACAACTTAAAAATCAACTGGGAAATTTTGAAATAAAAAAAAAACAAAGTAACATTTTAACTGGTTGAAAATAATGAATTTTAGCACTATTGGTTATAGTTATAAAGGTAGGTAATTTTGAGTGTTATAAATTCACTTTTTAATTATGAAGCCTTGGAAAATATAATTCTGATAATTCTATAATGTTACCCACTTGTATGTGGAACAGTTGGGATTGGATTGAAATCACAGAGTACTAAGGCACATTAAATAATACTTACATGTTATTTAGTACTTTGGACTATAATTCACTACTTTAGGCATCCTAAAAGATGTTGAGACTTAAAACTCTATGTTTTAGTTTCTAAGTAAAAATTTCATAACTTAAAGTATCTTAACTTAAGAGGGACGATTTTAGTTTCTGTTTTTTCCTAATATTTTTAGATTAGAAAGTTAATTTTTTTTTTAAGTTTATTTATTTTGAGAACACACGTGCGTGGGAGAGGAGCAGAGAGGGAGAGAGAGAGAGAGAGAGAATCCCAAGCAGTCTCCATGCTGTCAGTGCAGAGCTGGATGCAGGGCTTGAACTCACCAACCACGAGATCATGACCTGAGCTGAAACCAAGAGTCAGGAGCTTAACTGACTGAACCACCCAGGCACCCTAGAAATTCAGTTGTTGGTTCAAGTGATCAAACGTGTTTTGTGTATGACTTGCTTTGTGCATAAAATTGACACATTTGCTATGCACCAAAACTTGGGTATGGAGAAACCTCAAGGAATGAGTTATTTAGAAGAGCTAAGTTTCTCAAATAACAGGATTATCTCTTTAGGTACTACCTTTTTTTTCCAATTTCCAGTGGAGGTTATCCTAAAGTGTGTTACATATTTCCTTGCTTCCTAAATTGAGCCATTAAAGAGTTTGTCCTTTCTTGATGAGTCACGGTTCTTCCTTTGAGTATCAGATTTTTCCCTCCTCTAGACGGATATGCCTTAAAAGCCTGCCAGGGTGTATTCTTTGCCCCTCTGTTGAATGACCCCAGACTACTGTGTCTTCGAGTTCTTGTGACTGCTTTTTATGGAAGTTTTTTTTTTTGTCTTCTTGCTGTCATTTTTGGTTGCCAGTGGCTGACAGTTTTTGTCATTTTTTGTTGTTGATTGTAATTAAATAATGATACTTTGTGTGAATGTGAAAGATAAATACAGTCTGTGAGTGTTTGATATGCAAGGGCCTTAGTATGTGAATTTTGTAATTTTTAGGTACTCAGTGCCATATAAAATATCTGGTTCTAGAATGTGTATCTGTCAAAAATATTTAGATATTTAGAGGTGGTGTGTGGGATCAGAAAAATTGGGTAAGTGCGTGCTTTTATTTTTGGCCCCTTCTCTGGCCTTCCTATCTCTAGTTAGGAACCCCCTTGTGCAGGATGGGATAAATACTTGACAACTGTTACCCTGGTGGAGGCAGACAGTACTCCTCTGACTCCTTATTATTTTTCTTCCTTTTTATTTTTCTACTTCCCTATCTACTTTCTCTGTTTTGGATTTTGTTCTCAGTGCTTTGTTATTTTTCCTTTGGCCTCTCTTCATAGCTTTTGGTGGTAATGTTATACACTTTGATATAAGCCTTCTAGCAGTATTAGACTTAAAAAGCTGGTGACACCTTTTGAAAGGTTTAGTGTTAATTGAGTATTAAGAATAATTCCCACAACTTGAGTGATTAAAAAAAAAAAAAAAAACCCATATGGTTATTTTCATAAGATTTGCAGTTTTGTTTCTTGTGGCAATTGACCAGTTCTAACTTTGGCAATTACATTTAGCCGTTAAATTTTCTCCTCCCTCCCCCCCTCCCTCTCACCACCCTCGTTTCCTTTGGATTTTTCACTTCCTTTCTTTGTTTACTGCACTCCTGCTCATAGTTGCCTGCATTCATGTGGAATAAATGATTCATGTCCATAATTCTTGGTTCCTAGGAGATAAAAATTTCATGCAGTAATGTTATTGATTATATTTCATTCATTGTCTATAATGTGCTTTGTGTGGCACCTCTAGGCACATGGCTCCCAGTTTAAGTACCTATTTGAATATTTTCTGAGACTCCTAATTTATAGTGTGAATATTTATTTAATCATTCTACATCCTAAGACAAGTTAACTGGGCACTTTGTATCATAGCAAGGATACTTGAATTCAACCTTTTTTAGGAAGGAAGGGGCAAATTTGGGAGGCCCCTAGTGTGATGCACTAGAGACATTTTACATTACACCAGTGATACACAGAATTTGGCAGAGATTAAATGTGTATGTATGAATTTATTGTATTGATTTCAAGACCCAAATTTTTGTGTGAAACACGTACTATTCTGCCTCTGCAGCATATGTTCACTTGTGCTACCTCCACGCCCACCTGCAACATTTACACGGAATGTAACCTTTTGCCTACATCCATAGTCAAAATGAAAGAAGCATAACCTTGAAGTTGCTGGGTTATTTCAATCCAACTAGCAAACAGCTTTTGTGGTTCACTAATGGAAATAGTTCAGACGTTGGAGCGGAAGAATTGCAATTGGCGCCTCAGTAATGGATGGATTTGCTGCTCAGAATCTTTGAGGGAAAGGAAGTGCAATGCCTGTGCCATGTGTAGTGTGCTGTGCCATCAATTTAATGACAGACTTCCTAAAAATCATTTCTGCCTTTTTTGCCATGTATTTCTCCAATCCCTATTTGTCAACTTTAATTTTTCTCCTTTTTGGTGGTTTGTGACAATTAGAGGTCTCATTCCAAAACAGCTGCACTTCATATTGATCATTTGTAGTCCCTTAGCAATACAGGCAGCAATATTATGCATTAGCCTTAAGTGTGTGTGTGTATGTTAAATCACTACTAGTGTGCTAGAGAAGTGGGAAGAAAAAACAGCACCAGAGAGACCCTGCAGGCCTAGGTTCCACTCCTGGCTCTCTCTGCCACTGACTAGATATGTGAATTTTTCATTAAATCTCTCTGGGCCTCAGTTTCTGATGCTGTTTTGAAGTGATACTGGATTAGGTAATGTCTAAGTCAGTTTTTGATTTAAAATTCTTTGTGCTGCTGTGTACAGTGGAACCCTCAGCTTGATATCTCAATAGTTACATTTGGGGGGTTAGGGATTTGATATGGCAATCTCTTAGTGCTCTTTTAATAGTATAATAGAGTTGTTTCATGTACACATGTACTGAAAAAAAAGTGGGTTTTCTTTTTTTCCAGGACAGTGGCTTTGTCCATATTCATACTCCAATAATCACATCCAATGACTGTGAAGGGGCTGGAGAACTGTTCCAAGTTGAAGTAAGTTGTGCTTCTCATCTTGAAGGATAGGTTGCTCTTCAATATTGTTCTTTTGAGGGTTTGCTTTAAATTTAATAAGAGTTGTATGGATAGACCATGACTAGAACCTGAAATGTTGTCAGTAGTAATCCTTAAAAAACATACATAGAAAATTCAAACCTCTCTGATTTCCTGTCCTACTGGCTATCTTACTTGCATTGTGACTCAAAGGAATGGGTCTTTAATTTAGTACATCATTTGCTTTCCTTCTACAACTATGAACTGGTGAACTAGAAAACCCTGAAGAGATTAATAAAGATTTTAAGATCCCTTTTGTGCATGTTAAGCCCTAGTTAATATTTTTGGATATGAGTCATATTTTAAAAGATAAAATAAGAAAGTATACATGTGGATATTTTCTTCTCCAAAGTCTTTTAAAAACATGTTTTCATGAGAAATGTATACCTCACGTATGCTTCATTAAGCCTCTGATTTTTTTTTAATTATCTTTTAGAGTTTATTCATTTATTTTGAGAGATAGAGAAAGCACGAATGGGGGGGGGGGCAGAAAGGGGGAATCCCAAACAGGCTCTGCACTGTCAGCACAGAACCAGACGCAGGACTCAAACCCACGAAGTGGGAGATCATGACCTGAGCTGAAGTTGAACGCTTAACTAATAACTAAGCCACCCAGGTACCCCATGAATGCTCCAATTTTAATTCTTTGTTCAGCAGTAATTTTTTGAGCTCCTGGTATATGCCAGGCATTGTCAGCTTGCCCTTGTTGCACATTATTTGAAAGTTACCAGTTGTTTTTTTTTTTTTTTTACTTGTAGGCAGTTGAAAGTCATTCATTTACCAATTTCACAGCCTGTTTAAAATCATTGGCCAGTAATACAATAATACACAAAGAGAAATTATGTTGATAAGTGGTGCTTTTTATATTTCTTTCATTTATTCAGTGATTTCTTTATCTCTAAGAAGCCAGAATTCTTATTTATACATCTGGGTGATTCCATTAAATGGCAAGACCTGTATATAATTGTTCTGCTCTAGTTCTGAACATCCTGACTCTTGATAATGGTGCTTTCTCTTATTATTGAACAAAGTATTCACTGGGAGAAGTTGTCCTGATGTGTTGAAGGCATTATTCAAAATGATAATCAAATGCTGTCTGTATTCATACATAGTTTGAAGAAATCTTGATAGTTTTGCAAAAACGCAAAATAAAAGTTCTTCATTGAACATTTAAACTGGTAGTGTTAGCATCTATAAATATGAGTTAAAAAAAGGTAGCAAATGATAAAAGAACAATACCTACATTATGAAAAACATTCTCTTTAAGCATTTATGTTGTGTATTTTCTCCGCACCTTAATAGTCTTCTGAATACTGAAGTGAAGAAGAGTTACCCACCTTAACTACATGTCATAGTCCCTTATTCTAAGCAACCGAATATTAAAAACCAAATGACAGGGAAAGAAAGTATAATTTAAAGGAGTCTTTACAAATAAGAAGGTAATTATTAAAGAGACCCAAATTAAACAAGTAAAAAAAATCTGTAATAAACTGAAATAATGATACATTTGAAGATAACTGCTTTGCTACCAGGGAAATCCCATAAGCAAGTCTGAATGATTATAGTCTGTGTGTTTTGGCTTTTAAACAATATAAGGCAAGCTACCAGATAAGTATAAATACAGGAGAAGGGAAAGATAGATATTTCTGAAGCTAAACAAATGAGAAGTGTTCAGTGTTTGTGTCATTTCAGGGCCAGGTTAAAGAATTTCATATAGTGGAATTAGACTTGCCTATACAGGATACCAGAAAGAAATGCTCTGAAATTTTGTAGGCTCCTGCAGTCAGGCTTTAGATCAGGTTTCAGCAATTGGTGGCTTTTCTGCTATGACCTGCTGTCTTTGTTGCTTTTAGAAGTTTGGTGTTTAAGACTTGTCTTCTGCCCCTGCTGCCCCTCTGTCCTTTGAAAGCAGTGCTCCTTCTTATTCCCGCCTCAGACACCTCTGTTCAGTACTAATTCCAAGGGTCATTGTGTTAATTTCTTCCGACTGCATGTAAAGGCACTGGGGTTTGAATCTTGGCACCCCACTGTTAGGAGGAAGTAGAGTTGCATATTTAAATTCTTCCTTCTCTTTATAGTGCTCTTTTTTACTGTGACAACAATGAAGTGTCAGTAACTATTTAAAGTTAAGCATGCCCAGTCCACACCCAAGTTTGAGGACAATAGTAAATGGCCATCTTGAAATGCACTATAGGAACGCATGCTTCTCTAATACACTCTTGAGAAGTGATAGCATGTCCCAGCATTTTAGTTCCTTTTTCTTCACTTCTGTTTCCTGCTTTAAGACTTTGGATATTTGTTAAGGTTTTGGTACTACTGAACACATATGGAGGAAGTTGCATTCAAGGCATGTGTATGTTATTCAGCAGACATTTGTACCACCTGTGGTCAAGATGCTAGCTCGTCCCTGAGAAGGTAAAAGAGATTAAAGCCAAGAATTAGAGATTATGACAAAAATTAGCTGTTCATTCTCTAAGATGAAACTGCTTTATGTATGTATTTGAGGTTACAGTGTTACCAATTACAAGTGGCATGGAATCTAGAGGAAAATTAGGTCCATGAGGATTAACTTGGTCAGGAAAATCTTCAAAATGAATTTGTGACTTGAGTGTAACCTAGGGAGAATATTCCTCATAGGGGAACACTATGAGCAGAGTCAAGTAATTGAGTGTGGGGTTTTCCTTGGACTCTGGGTGGACAAATTAGAAGGTTCATATTGGTAAATGATAGAAAATAAACTTGGATAGCTATAGGAATGAAAAGATGGAGCAGATTTTTAAAAGAACTTTATTGAGATATAGTTTACATACCATAAAATTTACCCACTTAAAACATACAGTTCCATGGTTTTTAGTATATTCACCAGATTGTGCAGCCATCAGTTACTACAATCTAATTTTAGGCCTTTTCATCACCCCAAAGTGAAACCTGGTACCCATTAGCAGTCCCTTCGCATTCCCAACCCCAGCTTTAGGGAACGACTAAACTGCTCTCTATAGATTTGTCTTTTGGGGAACATTTCATGTAAATGGAATCATATAACATTTCTGGCTTTTTTTTCACTTAGCATGAAGTTTTTGAAGTTCATTCGTGCTGTAGCATTTATCGGTACTTCATTCCCTTTCACATTCAACTAGTATACTGTTGTGTAGATGTACAACATTATGTTTATCCATTTGGCAGTTGTTTGGTATTTGGGTTGTTTCTACCTTCTGGCTGTTATGAATAATGCTACTATGAACATTTGTGAAAACATTTCGATGAACATATGATTTCATGTCTCTTGGGTGGAATTGCTGAGTCATATGGTAACCCTGTGTTTAATATTTTGAGAAGCTGCCAAATCATTTTCCAAAGTGACTGCACCATCGTACGTTACGACCCACAGTGAATGGGGTTCCAGTTTCTCCACATCTTTGCCAACCCTTATTATTGCCCTTCTGTTTTTGTTTTTTTGTTTCTTAAACATAGCCATACCCAGAGGGTATGAAGTTGTATTTCATTGTTTGCTTTTTGCTTTTGACCATTTGCAATTTATATGTAAATGTGTAATTCACATTTAAGTTTTTAAAATTACAATTCTGTTATGCCAAAGCGTGATAGATAAATGGTCACACATTGTGAAATTAAATTAGGCTGAGAAAATCTAAAAGTAATACTTCATATAATAGGAATATTATTCAAGCCTAGAAATTACACATTTAAATACTTTTTAAAGCTAAGAATGAACTGAAGGTGTAAGCCTATTAAGTGAAACCCAAGAAGATGTGTAATTTCATAGCTGAATCTCATACAGTGGGGAGTCTCATACTAAGATTTTCATGCTGCGTCTTACACTGTATATTGAAGTTTGGCATTAGATTGGTTTGCTTTTGTGTTTGTGTGGTAATACATGTAACATAAAATTTACCATTTTAACCATTTTTTTTTTAATTTTTTTTTTTCAACGTTTATTTATTTTTGGGACAGAGAGAGACAGAGCATGAACGGGGGAGGGGCAGAGAGAGAGGGAGACACAGAATCGGAAACAGGCTCCAGGCTCTGAGCCATCAGCCCAGAGCCCGACGCGGGGCTCGAGCTCACGGGCCGCAAGATCGTGACCTGGCTGAAGTCGGACGCTTAACCGACTGCGCCACCCAGGCGCCCCTAACCATTTTTAAGTGTACAATTCAATACCATTAGTTCTGTTTACAGTGCTATACAACCGTTACTACTATCTATTTCTTAAAACTTCTTCATCACTCCGACAGAAGCTCTGTGGCAGAAGCTCTTGATTCCCCTCTCCCCCTAGTAACTGTTATGCCCAGAATTCGTGATCCCCAAATACCAGTAGGGAGCCGAGTCCGATGCAAAAGCAAAGAGCCTTTATTCGAGCTAGCTCAAGCTCAATCCCCTACCTGCACCGACGCAGCGGTGAGATACCAGGGAAAGAGAGCGAGTTTCAAAAGGACAAAGGTTTTATTGGGGCCTGGGGGCAGTTGGTGAGGTAATGGCTATGGCCTCAGCCGATTGGCTGGGGAAGGGTCCGAGTCCTGTTAGGCAGGTGAGGGGGGGTTACTCAAGGGGAGGAGGTGTGGTCAAGGTGAAGGACACAGAACAAGATGGAGTCGGCTGGCGTAGGCCCGCCCTTTCAGTAACCTCTAATCTCCTTTTTCGCTCTATGGATTTCTTGTTCTGGAATTTCATACAAATGGAATCATACAATATGTGGCCTTTTGTGTCTGGCTTCTGTTGTAGCATGTATCTGAATTTCATTTCTTTTTATTACTAAGTCATATTATACTGTGTGGATATACCATATTTTGTTCAACCATTTATTCACTGGTAGACGTTAGGTTGTGTCTACCTTTGGATGTTATTGATAATGCTGCTCTGAATATTTGTGTACAAGTTTTTGTTTGAACACTTGTTTTCGGTTCTTCTGAGTATATACCAAGGAGTGG